TTTTTTTCTTTCTTCGTTCTTCAACTCCGTTTCTGTTGGTAGTGTCGAAAGCTTTCTCTGTCCTACAGTTAGTGTTGCTCCTGACCTGCTTAAAAGGAGCCCACACCCCGGCAGATAGGATAGGCACGCTGAGGATGACGTGGATGTTCACAAGGATTCCCAAGGAGAGCTGCGCCAGCACAGCATTCAGCAGGACGGCTAGCACGGACCATCCCATCAAAACAGTCCTGGCAAAAGACATTCTGTCCACATGTCAAAAATACAGCAGGACGTTCATCACAGTGCGGCATCATATAAATATATATATATATATAGAGAGAGAGAGAGAGAGAGAGAGAGAGAGAGAGAGAGAGAGAGAGAGAGAGAGAGAGAGAGCTTTATGTGGGAGGAGGAGTCGGTGGGACGAAGTTCACTGGGATTTGGTCAGCACGGGGAACGTCACTCGTGTGGGTTTTGGTGGATGGAATGGTGAAATTCCGACGAAACTGTGTCCCACGGCCTCTGTTTTTTCCATTTCTTTGTTATATAATGTAAAAATGTTGTCGGCCAGTCTCTGATGCTTAATCACAGTTTTGGGTTAAGGTAGCTTGTCCTGTTTTTAAAGGAGCAATAGCAAAACGTCCATGATGTATACGTTGACTTTCTATCTTAGATTCTAAGCATTTCCATTGAATTTTGTCATCAGTAACATTTTGAATCATTATGGAATATCCTTCTCCAGTATTTCCTTAAACGCGTCTTATGACTTACTGTGTCATTGGTCAGGGGACTCTGCAGACTGTAGAGGGTTCAGCCTCCTGATGAGTCTGCCACAGCCGCTCGTTTGCTGTCCTCTTCTCCCTCTCTGCCTACGGTTCACCGACCAGATCTCCACGTAATACATATGGATGTAGTCATGTAATAGTATATCGTTATAGAGAACTGCCCGGTAAACAGTAGGCAGAGAGGGAGGGGAGGACACTGGCCCTCGCTCCACTACCTTCTTCCCCCGAATACAACGTACGGCCATTATAGGTGTATTTGGGGAATCTTTCAGTCTACATACAGCTATAATGACCGTACGTTGTGCTCGGGGGAAGAATGTAGTCACCAAATGTGCAAAATGAGTACGAAATTTCCGCTAGAACAAGGCAAGATACACCGCCATATTTTTTGTCTTTTGTGCATATGGTGAGTAGAGGAGCGAGGCCCACTGCTCGGTGAAATGAACGGTGGGCCGAGAGGTAGAAGAGAACAACAACGAGGGGCCGTGACATACTATCGGCGGATTTTCATCGACTCATCAGATGGCTGAACCCTCTACAGTCTGCAGAGTCCCCTAAACAATGATACAGTGAGTGATAATTCACCTTACCCCAGTTGTGATTAAGCATTAGAGACTGCACGACAGCTGAACCCTGCAAGGACTGAATTCCAAATCTGCTTAGGGAGGGCTAAACTCTACGCCAAACAGATCTAGATCCAGCAGCCAGGCCCGCGTTTCTCTCTCTAAAGGGAAAGAATGAAGAAAGTCAAAGAAGACTATTGCTCAGGCACAGTAGACGGAAAACTCTACAGACTGCAACCCATATAGTTCATACGTATATGTGTGGATATAAATATATGTATGCTATATCACCTAGAGAGGGTTTCTGGGTCCGACGGCTGCGAACCTTGCACCTTTCGGGCTTCAATGCAGTTTTGCCCATGTCTCGATTACCGCCTCCTCGACGGCAGCCACGCCCCGATCGCTGGYGGCA